AGAAAACCCAGGGACTGTAACCCAGAAAGGGACTGTAACCCAGAAAGACTGAAACTTACAAGCTGTTCTGACCAGTTTGCCACTCAGGAGATGCCCCACTGAGTGCCCAGCTCACCCTCCTTTAAAGAACAAGTATATCTTCTGTCAGCAGGCACTTCACAGTTTAGATACATTGTCCCTACAATAATATACGAACTTAACAACAAATCTGTGAGTTCGGCAAAGGTGTGTTGTTGGGATCCGCCCTGCCTGGTTTCAGGAGCTGTAACCACCCCCATGGCTAAGGCTGAGTGAGTGACCTTGGGACCATAAGCCACTAAGGAGACAAAGCTTATCTCCATGGCAGGGACTCCGCTTCTGCTCCTTTTACCCTGCCTGGCCCCCAGTGCTCGATCAGTTAGCCAATGACAGGTAAGATTCCCCAAGGGGGGAACAACCTAAGACAGGCATGATTGTGGGGAGGCCCCAGGGAAGGACTTGGGGAGCTATAGAAAAAGGGGATGATGGACCCTCACCCCTTGGCTTTGATATAGCCTGAGTCCTCACTCTGTCTGCAAGAAGTCTCCTAATCTCTTGGCTGCTTTACTTCCCCTGCCTGACTTAAGCCTGAAACAATGCTGGTGGTGGGTGCCGCCCTGTGCTGGAAAGGGCTGGTTCCCTAGAGCGATCAGATCTAAGAAAGAATATGTAAAATCCTGTGAAACCTGTTCTGTTTAGAATGTTCTCAATTAAACAATAATGGTCCAAGTGAGAAGTGAGTTTGTTCCTCAAAATTTTATGGCTCTTTAGCTATCTGACCTTGACTCAAAATAGGCCCCCAGAGTTCTTTGTCTGTTTGATTCTCACTGCCTGATAATGATTAATGAGCTTTACCTGTATTCTTGTGCAAAACAAACCCAATAAAAACTTGTCAAGGCAAGGGTTGAGGTGCTCTCCCCTTGAGGGAGTAGCCGTGTGGTCTCCTTTCCTCCACAGGACTCGGTAGTCCATGTGGATTTGTCTCATGTCTCATCCATAATGCCATGGACACGGTGTCTGGGTCAGTATGTATTATTACATTCTGTTTTCACACGAGAAATGGAAGCTCGGCAGTGATGTTTTGAGTGATCAGTACTCAGGACTTCTAATTGACCCTTTCACTCCATTAACTTAAATTTTGTTTTGCTCTTAATTCTGCTGGGTTTCCTGAAACAGGGAAGCTTCTAGGCAAGAGGAAAGAGAATCTAAAGAGGAGGACCTGGAAAGCAGTAAGCTGAATTAGCAACTGCACAGAGCACATATGGACATGCAGAACTTAGAAAAAGGTAGCCCTTCTACTGAGCAATGAACTCCCAGAGCAGGGCTAAGACATCAAAAACCAAACCTTATGATATCTTTGCCTGACAAAACTTGGGGCAATAAGAGGCTTGGGATGGCATGGTCCCTGGTGACCAGCTGGAACGGCATGAATTCAAGCACAAGTTGGCATCTCAGTCTTCCTGCCTCCCTGAGTCAAGTGCAGCACGTACTGGGAGAACATCATGCTTGTCAGTGTGTGCCGGCTGGTGATTCTGCATGTGCCTGGAGTTGTTACACTGGATCAAAGGTTAAGAGCTCAGATCTTACTGGACAGACTTGAAAAAAATCTTCCCAATTTATTTGCACCTCAAAATATGGAGTCAGAACAAAAATTGAAAGGGGTGATTCCATCATCTCTGCTGCCTTGGTGTCTAGTAGACACTAAGGCTTTCCCAGGGGATGTGTGGAGGTCTGCAAGAAGGCTGCAGCCACAACTAAGGGAGTGAGGCTGGAGAGACCACAGTAGGTCAGCAATGGACTGGCCCACACCAGAGAGACGGGACCCCAGCCCCAATTCATCACTAAAAGTGACAATGACAAAATTAGAGCTAAACAATCCAAATAGGTGATTCAGAGATGTTTTTGAATTTCTTTAATGTTATTAATCCTCACTCAAGGATATGTTTACTGATTTTAGAGAAAGAGAAAGGGGATTTCAGGGAGACACACACACACACACATATTGATTGATTGCCTCCTGTGTGCACCCAGACTGGGTATCAAATCCTCAACCTTTTGGTGTACAGGACAATGCTCCGACCAACTGAGCAGCCCAGCCAGGGCCCTTTGGATTTCTGACATCAATAGAGCACAAGGAGAATACACAGTATTTTAAAAGTCCAAATGAATTTTGGTGCAGATGACATCACAAGCTACCTTTACTGCTGTTGCCAGAATAGAACTCAGAGCCTTCCTCCAACTCTGTAGACCTGACTGAGCTAGTTAACCCTTCCTGATTGCAAAACAGGACTAATTCCATTCTAATTTCTCAGAAAGCAGTGTGAAGGAGAGTAAGAACAGTGATACCAACATGCTCCTGGAATGTAGCTCAGCACCCTGTCTGTAGTCATGGTATTGCGGTTCCACCATTTGAGTGCATTATTTGATTTTACATGTTTATTTCCTATTTTAAACTTACAGTCTAGTAGACTCTCTCTTTTATACCTCCTGTCCATCCCTACATTCTTTCTCCTTCTTTATTCAATCATTTAAAATTCATCTCATGGTTTTTATTTAGAGACTTTGACATTCACTTTTTTGGAGAGGGCAATAATTGACGTTGTTAACACAGTTTTAAAGGGCAGAATCAAGTTCTGACTCCCAGGAGCTCTATATAAGAGAAAATATTGTATTTTGCTGTTTGTAGTACGTTCCAGTGTATAATGCACACCCATGTTTTTGGCCCAAATTTTCAGGAAAAAAATCTTTCATTTCAATTTTTTAAGTCAACTTATTTATTTATTTATATTTAGAAATGAAACTGATTATCATAGTTCAGAGTATTATTTTGCATTCAGATATCATTACTGCTTTCTAGAGTTATACTTTTAATACATAAGCATAAATAAAAAATTTAAAACATTTATATAGATACAGAATAAGTACTATTCATGTATAATGCACACCCTTATTTTTCCTTCAAAAATTTGAGCAAAAATGTGCCATTGTACACAGCAAAACACAGTAGTAACATTTTAAACATTATGCAGACAAGGTCTGCTGTAATCAATTTTCCATGCATCTTCTATATTGTTCTTGGTCACCAATGAAAATAACAAGCTGGCCTAGAGACAGCGTCCAAATTCTCAAAAAACTCTCCTCTGAGCTGGAACAGGAAATACTTGTAAAAGTAAACAGTAAACATTTGGAAACTTTCAACCCCAAGAAGTTAAGCAGGCTGAAAATATAAATAGCTTCAAGAAGGTTTCGGTATTATTCATGGATAAAAAGAATACATAATAGTAATAGCAAAAAAATTAAAAGTTTACCAGTACAAGTGTTTGTGCAGATGGAGAGCAAAGGAAATACTATACATTGCTGGTAGAAATGTAGTTTTGTTCAACAACTTTGAAAAACAAGTTAATATTGTGCTGTAAAGTAGCCCCATACCTTGTGACCAGTTCCACTCTCTGCGTATGTCCTAACCCTCCTAGACAGGGTGCTTTGGAAGGTATATATGAAAATGTTCAGAAAGGTGTTGTTCATCACAGAAAAAAAAGGAGAAAATAGAAAAACCCAAATAGTCACAAAATGAAAACAGCACTGAATATAAATGAACTTCTCTAAATGAAGAAATACGGATGAATCTTGGAAGCATACTGGTGAAAAAAGCAATCTGCGGAAGAATTGTATATACTGATGCCATTTTTACATGTCTCAAAAATATAAAAAACTTTAAAAGAGTGTTCTTTTAAGGAACCATACATGTGTCATAGAACTAATTTTAAAAGCAAAGGAAGGATTAAAAAAGAAAATAAAAGCAAAAGAATGATTAATACAAAAATCAGAACCTTGGTTTCCTCTGGAGGCAGATAAGCAAAGGGTGGGACTAGGAAGGAAATCCAAGTGTCTTCCTTAGGCCTGGTAATGATTTAATTTGTAAACTGGGTGGGGCTCACTAGTGCTTATTTAATTTAGGTTCATAACTTACATGTACGTTACATGTAGCCTTGGACACTTAATAATCTTTCAGTGGAAATGAAAATGTTTACTTCCCTATCATCTAGGTAGATTTGATTTGCTTCCCTAGAAATCTAGGTAATTTTTTTTTTACTTAAGAAAATACAAAATGCTGCAAGAGCCAATTGCCTCCAGGAACTTCACAGTGAACATAAAGGAAATTCAAGCTAAAGAAAATTGGGAGAAGGCCCTCAAGAATGATTCATCTGTTTTGTTTTGTTTTGTTTTGTTTGCTTTTGGCCAGCTCTCCAGGGGATTCTTGTTTACGAGGAATGTCTGCCACTGATAATCTTGTTTTCTTGGTTTAATATTAGTGGCTTTACAAAGAGGTCAGAAAAGCTGGGAGAGGGAGGAGATGATAACTGTGAATCAACAGCAATCTCTACAGGTTACCAGATGCAGCACTTCCTGTGAGCTAGTGCGTTTAGGTGAATACCTTTAAAATAAACAGCTACGGGATTAGGGACAAGGGTAAAGCTGTCTACCCAGGCCTTGGAATTCATTTAGAAAAAAGCCAGCAACTTTCATTTAACCGCTTTGGAAATGTTTATGCATTATCTTCCCCCATCCACTAAAGAAAACACAGCCACAGGACAAGTTCATCTTTGAACACTTCATCAGACATTAACAAGCGCAGCAACAATAGAACTTATGCTAAAATTAACGTTTAAGAAGCTTCAAAATATTTTTAGTTCTTTTCATCTGAAATTGTTTAGACTACCTTCAGAGAAACTTTTCAACTATTTCCTTACTGAAAAGAGCGGAGAAGTTTTTATAAGGCCACGGTCACTGGAATGATTTGATTTATAAGTTTCCTTTAAAAGAAAGAGAGAGAAAGAGAAGAGAAACAAAGCAGCAGCAGCAAGCCCTTGGCAACCACAGAGGGCTGAAAAAACAGAGTTCTGTGAAGTAAAGTAGACCTGACTGCAGAGGTTAGATCTTTATCTTAATTTCTAGAAGTCAGGTCTGTTTGTTTGATGTACCTTGGAGAAGTAGGTGCTTTCAGATGGTCCTCCCACAGTTCTCCTTAGCAACGAGCCAACTCCAAGGGTCCTCAGCCAATTAACCTGGGCAATACTTTCAAGTCAATCGGGGCCTACCCGTGAAATCTCATACAAATCCTATAACAGGAAGCCACAAACATAGAGTGAGGGAAAATGTACCTGATTAAGTGGAAAAACATTAGCCATCCTTGAATTATATAATAGCAATTAAATAATAAAAAGAAGGAAAGTACATGCATAACAGTCCTTGAATCTGAGTCCAGTTAGAAATCTGTACATTTGATTAATATTTCTGAAGTACTGAGGGTTTCACAAATAAGTAGCAAAAGTTTTCAGGGGAGAGCCAGTATAACTGCGTCAATGGAATTAGATGGAACCTTTCTACGGCAAGAAGTAAAATCAGAGGCAGCAGTTTCCCCTGTCCTGTGTTCTTTTAGGTAAAATGAGCAGTGCTGGGTGGTTCCTGTGGGTGGCTGTGGCTTGAATGGACATCTGAGGGATATCAGTGGCATTGAGGGCAGTCAACGCCCATTCGAAATGGCAGTGAGCCCCTGTCAGCATTTAGACTGTTGCCCTCCTGACTTTTTTCCTGCTAAATTAAAGACAGAATGGCCTGTTGAAAAGGCTCTAGCAGAACATAGGACCGAAACTGAAGCTAAGGCTTTCCAATCTAGGGTACTAGTCACTAACTGGGCAATCCTGGGAAAGCAAGTCTTCCTGGGCCTGATTCTTTTGTGCTGTTACAGGAGAAAACTGGAGTTAATCTCCAAGAGTCTTTCTAGCTCTGAAGTTCTGTGTCAAAGAAAAGGGGGAGATAGGTGCCAACAGAAGAGGAGGCATCTCTGACCTGGCTGGTCCCTGTCCTAGCTCAGCCCTGTGACAGGAATCACACTGCTCCAGAATTTTAGGAGGGGGAGCACTGAGCTCCCTAAACACGCGGGGAGAATTTTCAGTAACCTGACAAGTGGCTTGAGTCCAAGACTCTCTCACAGTAGAATGGCTTCCTGTCTTACCTGAAAGCCCCTTCAAATGACCTAGAGGAGAGAGGTAAAGACACTTAAAGAGCCAGGGGTGCAAGTCACTGTAGCAAAGGTAACAGCATCACACAGTAGAAAGAGTGACATCATACAGGCAGATGAGTGGAAGGTGGCTCTTCCCAGGCACAAACCACATCAAAGCATGCTCAGGACTGTACTGGATGGTTTTGTAGTTGTTTGTTACAACAAACCAATGTGATTCCCACACTTGCACTAGTCTTTTAAGGTCAGCAATGTCAAGTCCTGACCTGTTTGTACCAAATCCACGGCCAAGATCTTGAAGACTCTAACTTATACCTCGATATACCTCGATATACCTTAAATGGGGAAGAGGGAGTGGAGGGGGGCCCCGGCTGCCTTTCTCCCCCACCCCGCCCCTATTCAGAGTCTGCTTAGGAATGGAGAAGACGCAGCAGGAAGTTGTGCTGCTCCAAACTCTGCTGGAGCAATGTTTGGCTCTAAAGCAGGAAATACAGGAGACCTTGGGGCTTGGAGTGGACCCGTTCTCTTAACTTTACAGTATATCTATTTTAATACAATTACAGGGGAAATCTGCGATTTTAAAGGACAGGTGCTGCAAATTCTCCTCAGTTGGGTTTTGGCTCTATCTTGGAAGTCCTCACCTAGGGCGGACACACAGTGTAGTGGCCCCTCTCTGTGCCCTGTGGAGGAATGGCCAGGCCAAGCGGGGCAGTGAACAGCCAGCTTGGCCAGAGGCCTCAGACTCCGGCCTAAAACTCTGGGTGGAGGGACCGAGGAGCAGGCTGCAGACTGCAGTGACTCACCAGCCCTCAGGTGAAAATCTCTCCCGGTGCTCAGTTCCCAGCCTTGGGCACTCCAGGGTAAATTACATCTCTGTGGACCCAATCTCCACCTCTGTGCACGGGAGAGATTAAAAGCGCCGCCCCACCTTCCCCAACTTGGAGAAGTCGCTCTTGTCCCGTGGGTCATTGCTTCGGAAGAGGTGCATGGTGTGCAGCCAGCCCTCCCTGGCGAGGTCCCCTTCGCAGGCAGGACGACGCGAACTGGTGAGGCGTCCCCGCCGTTGACTCCAGTTGTATCCTCCCCCCACCGCCATCTGTCAAGCCAGTCCCGTCCCCTAAACGGCCCGGCGGCCCCCTCTCCCCCGATGATTTGAAGTGGGGGGCGGGTGGTTCAAAATCACTTCGCGCCTCCTTCGCTCTTTCCTGAGCGCCGTAGGGCAGGCAGGGTGCGCGGCCTCATTTTGCTCCCAACCGCGACCGGACCCGCGGAAAACCGCAGTCAGGCTCCCGGGCAGGTCCTGCCGCAGTCGCCGGGGACCCGCGCCACCGCGCGGCTGCGGGAGGGGACAGCCCCGCGGGCAGAGGGCGCCCGGCCGCGCCCCACCCCCGTCCCCCTCCGACGCGGGGGGGACGCGCAGCCCTGCTCACCGCCCGGCTTCTCCTTCTCCCGCAGCCGTGCCGAGACCATGTCCGCAGAGACCGCAAGCGGCCCCACAGAGGACCAGGTGGAGATCCTGGAGTACAACTTCAACAAGGTCAACAAGCACCCGGACCCCACCACGCTGTGCCTCATCGCGGCCGAGGCCGGCCTTTCCGAGGAGGAGACCCAGGTGAGCCCCGGCACGCGCCCCGCACGCACCCCGCCTTCCCGCGTCCTGCCCCCCAGACGGCCGCGCCGCGCTCCCCTGGGCCGTCTCGCTAATGTGAGGGTGCTCCTCGCCCTCGCTTGGCCTCGCCGCCCTACCCCGATCGTTCATCGCTTCTGCCCGCACTCCGGGAGCCCCATCCCGGGAGCCCAGATCCCGCATCGCTGCCCTCGCCGCACCCCAGCTCCGGGCTCCAGGGGCTGCCCGTGCACACCCCCATCCCTTGCTCGCCGGGGCTCTCCCAGGAGTAGCTTAGAAACCTTACGTTCACCCTTCCTCCTCCATGCTTTTCCAATCTCCACTGCAGCCCGGGATAAACGTTCTCCTCCCTCCAGGATAAACCTTCTCCTCCCTCCAGATTGGGAGCGGCGCCCCTGACCCGCTCTTGCCTGGCTTTCCCGGGCTCAGTCTCTCCCCTGGGCTCTGAGCGAAGCCTTTCCGAGAGGTGCCGCGTGCGCGCTCCGAGCCCAACGCTCTCAAATCTATTATCCGCGAGAATGTCAGAGCTGGAGGGGACTTTAGCGATCTGCTGTAAATTCGGTCAGTCCTCAGGTTTGGTAAAAGGGGAAACTGAGGCCCAGAGGGATGGAATTGCCAGAATGGCACGGCTCGTTAAGCACGCTTTTCCCACCCTATCGCATGCCAGCTTCCCCTTAGCTGCAGAGCTAAAATTGCATACAGCTGGGGGAGGTTTGGTTTCGGATATTTGAAAATTCGCCGGCCCTCAGATTTAGCCTTTTTCTGGACTTTTCCAAAAAGGTAGACATCCTACCTTACAGGTGAAAGGAGTGGAAGCAGATGTGCCCTTAAATGCATTGATTGATTTATCTATTTTTAAAACCTTCTATTGTCCTGGAGATTGTGTAGGGTAGAGAATGAAACACCATGATTATTAACCTCCAAAAGTGCGGTGTTGGCTCCTCCGACCAACTTCTTAAATTTTATTTACGTCTTTGCTTATTTAGTACCCCTGCCTAAGCTCTGACTTTTACTTTCCCTTTGGTCATGGAAAGACAGTTATGCCTGATAACACCACTTGGAGCTGCTCTAGCATCTTCCCCACAGGAGCCCAAAGCGCTTCCCGCCTCTAGTCCCAGCTCTAACTGCAGGGTATCCTCATTCTTTCCATTGCGCAGACCAGGGCACCCCACGCTTTGTCCTCTCCTCCCCACCAACCACACTCAGGTGAGGCTTGTCATGGGTGCTCCGGTGGATCCTAGAACTCAGGCCCTGGACCCCACATCCAGAATGGGGTCCAGATTTTTACTAATTAGCCAGACATGTTTTGGGTAACTTGCCTCTAGAAAATCCTCCTTCTGAGGTTAAATAGAAAGTCACACATGCCTGTTTTTAGCAAAGGGAATGGCAGAACTTAGTAGAAGGTGATTTGCTGTAACGCAAGTCTTACAGCTCATGTTTCTTGGAACCCTCGGAGGAAGCAGCCTGCTGAAGTTTTATCATTTGGTAGCCCACACTATATTTAGAAAAGAAGAAGGATCACAGAGACAGTCATTACTCATCTTTTCAATGGAGGGTGCGAATTTACTGTGGGCGCAGCAGCAAGCAGGGGGTCTAAGCTCTCCTCCGCCTCGGATTCTCCCACGGTGAACCACCTCCATTCCCCTGCCCGGAAGGCAGGATAACTGTTGATCTTTGTCGTGGCTGATACTTGCCAGGCATTCTTCCAGGCGCACTCCAAGTATTAAGTCACTTATTTGCCACAACAATGCTGTGTGGTGTGCACTATGAGCTCCATTGTATAGATAAGCCCACTGAGGCACAGAAAGGTTAAATAATTTGCTCAAGAACACAACTAAGGCCCTGGCTGGCGTGGCTCAGTGGATTGAGCAATGGCCTGTGAACAAAAATGTCGCAGGGTATGCCTGGGTAGCAGGCCATCTCCCCAGTTGGGTGTGTACATGTGCAAGAGGCAACTGATTGATGTTTCTCTCCCTCACTTCCTCCTTTCCCCTCTCTCTAAAAATAAGTAAAATCTTTTTAAAAACCCAAACCTAAGAAGTAGGAGAGCTGGGATTTGAACCCTTGTAGCTAGGTCACAACCCAGACTCCTAACCAGTATGCTACATTGTCTCCATAGAGAGGGAATGTGAACAACTTAGTGACTATGAGGAAAAGACTGAAAATTTAACTTATATTTCTTCCTGAAAAAAAAATCTCTGCATTAGATGACAGTCATCTCAGGCTATATTCAATCTTTCCTCAAGACCGACCTTATATTAAAGAACTGAAATGCAATCAAGTGAGGGCAGGAAGAAAGGGCACCTGCTCCTTTCTGGGACTGAGGTCCGGCACTTCAGAGCCCTGTGCAGGGTCCGTCTACCCTCCTCAGCCAGCCCTTCTCCCGGTTCCCCTCGTCTACCCGCAAAGACCCAGCCCTGAAATGAGTGGGCGTGTGGGGTGAGTCAGCCGCATAGCAGGGCCCGGCTTCCTTTTCCTGCCGTGGGGGCCGACACCGCCTTCCTCCCTGAGGTTGCCACAGCTGGGCTTGCCTCTGTCTTCCTGCGCAGACCCACAGGGAAGCATCTGAAAGCCCAGGGCTCAGAGACAGGCAACGTTTGGCAGGTTTAGGGAAAGAGGATTCCAAGGTAACCCTCCATCATCCCCACTGGTTGGGTCTCGTCTTCCAACTGCCCATTCTTTCCACCCCCACCCTCCTGCCCCCTTCCACCCCTTCCTAACTCCTCCCACCTTAGCGTGCGCTGGTGAATGAGAATGGTTTCATTTTTAATCTTCTCAAACAACATACAATTAAAGAAATGTCTTCTTTTTTAAAAAAGCATCTTCTGTAGACATTATGCCAATAATAGAATTATTTTTCTTTAGAGCAGGCCTTGCAGAGACCCTTTAAAGAACTCAGGGAGGCCAGGATGTGCTGGGCCTACAGGTCAGCAGTGTCTGGTATCAGCGCATTCCCCGTTTCTGTTCTTTAGTGTAGTGTTGTCCCTTTGCACAAGGAAAGGTCTTCAAAATAATTTTTATTTCCTATACCCGATTCCCTCATTCCTAACACCCCCACCTCCAGAATTAGAATTATATTCTTCATTCTCCTAGAACAAGTAATATGTGAATGGGAGAAAAAGAAGCACAAGATGCTCCTGTGAGATAATAAACTAGAGTTGATTCGCATCCCCGATGCTTTGGCAGGGGCAAGAGGGACTGAAAGGGTGAACCGTTCTCTGATGGGGGGCTTTGATGACCTCTCTCTGACTGGCCCAGTGCAGGACCATGTTCTCTGCACTGAAAGCCGGCAGGGCGGGGGTCGGGGGGCACCTGGAGGAACCTGGAGTGACAGGAAGGGTGCCGTGAGTGGTGATCTAATGGAAATAACTTTTTAGGTTGCTTTTGCTGGGATCCTAGAATAGGTTTTTCTCGGGACAGTAATTTGATACCTCCTACATTTAAATTAGATAAACTGGACAGAATACCAACCCCTGTACCTTTTTGGTTTTGAAGTCAGTGTTAGAAGCCTCTGGGAAAGCTCTTTCATCGGCCCCCAGGGAGGCTGAGATGATCTGGCCTTTTCTATTGTTGCTGATTCGAGCCCAGTGTACCTGGCACCGGTTCTTAGAGAGCCCTCCTCTCAGTGTCCTGGGACTGTTCCCAGAACTCAGTGGTTTTAGTTGTTCAACGTTTTATCAGTGGAATAAAGACCTCTAAAGGTCTTCCCCTGAAAAGGATGAAATGTTAGTTAGTAGAGAAAAGGACAGAAACAATGTAATTTTGCCTCGACCCCTCCCCACCACAGTGTCTAATTATCATCTGTTCACTGGGAGTAAATAAATCTCCATCAATGGGTGAGGGTCATGAGAGCATTCATTTATAAGCAAGCGAGGGATGAATGTCTTTCCCAGGGGGTGACAGAAACAAAGAAGAGAGAGAGAGTGCCAGGTGGGACATTAGTGTTGGTGTGAGTGAGCTGTGGGGGCGGGAAAAAAAGCAAGCAAAGTGTCGAATGGTTTTTGTTGGACGACAAATGGTTTGCTAATTTATTATATATATGTATTTGATTTAAAGTATATGCCTTTAGAAAATAGTGGAGCTTTTCTTGAACTTTGTCCCATCCTCCCAGGGCTAGGGTTCAATTTGTTAAGCTTTCGGATGCCAAGTCACCGATTCACAAGTGTGGCCCTGGCGGAAGTTATTTGCAGTAACTGTACATTAATATTCTGCTTCACTAATGGTGTAAAGATGTGGGTGGCTTTTCTGAATGAGGCCAGCTCAATCATTTTGTCTTGAATGAATCCTGATAGTAGAAAGGGACTGTCCTCTTCCAAGTTTTAATTAGTCAGTCTTTAAAACTCTGCCTTTTATTCAGCTTTGGTAGCTGGAAATTGCACTGAATCAGACCTTGTGGCCATGAAAACCCCCCATAGAGCTGCCTCATTAGTGCAATGGGAGCCGTGCTGCTCTCACACCAGATTTCAGAGTTAACTGAACACACACATGGCTTACAGTAGAAAATGGTGCCCACCTTTAGCAGTAGAACTTTGGCTAAAGCCATCAAGGTTATATGAGGTCTCCCTACTTAAGGTGAGTTAACCCCAGGAGTGAAACATGGCACCCAGAGAGCAACCCCCAAAGAGAAGGCTCCCCAAAGGGTAGTCTGCTGTCCCTGGCTTTAGGGTACTTTTCTCTGTGGCCACCCCCCCCCCAGTACAAAGATGTGTAAGACAACTGATCTTAACAGCTACATACAGCATTTCAGTGTGTAAACTCTGTTGTACAGTTAGGGTAAGTAGTGGGTGTGGTCCCATGCTGTGCAGCCAGCTTAGCTCTGGTGCAGAGCCCTCACCTGTCTTGTGGCCTCACTCCCTGCTAACTCCATAGGCCTTGCTCCTTGGAAACACTCTTTCTCCTGTGGCTCTCACCCTTTCTTCCAATCTTGAGCTTATGCCAAACTGCCTTTCAGCTCATTGGATCTTTGCAGAGATGATGTCTTCCCCAGCATGGCCCTAGAGCCAGCCTGTTTGTTCTGAGGTTAAATGTGCAGCTGGGCAGGTGTCCATCTATGCTAAGTCAGAGCCCTCTCAATGTTCTTTATTGCACCGTCTCCTTCAGCACCTCCCAGGTCTAGCATCCCGTAGCTGGGCTCTTTCTGCCCCCTCATCTGCTTACCCCTAGAATAGGTAATTTTTTAGAAAACCCAGAAGGGGCAATAAAGCACCGTGCTCCCCTGCACTCCCACCCCCACCACCAGCTCACCTCATCATTTACAGTGAAGCTGACTGGTGCCCTCTTTTTAGGGACTTCCTCAAGGTCTCATAGTCAGTTTGGTTACTATAGAGCTTCCTGTTGGCATGGCCCAGGACTGCAGAGCCTCTAGTGGTCACTTGCCCAGGCAGCTTGCCTGTGTGCACCAGTGGGACTCAAAACATCAGCATTCTCCGTGTACACCAGCACGTGTGAAGTTTGGGAAGTCCGGGGGAAATAAGGCCTGCAGGTCCCGTAGGTCCTCTAACTCATCCACCTCCCAGGCGGATCCCGCCTTGCTGCGTCTGTTGCTCGCTAGGCCCTCTTTCAAGTCTTTTTTTTAAGTCACAGTTTCCTCCTGGACAACCTGGTGCATGCCCCAGTCTTTTTTCCAGCGTAGGTCTCCTTATCTCCTCTTTGCATGGCTCCCCACCCCCTTGGTAGCATAATAAAGGCAGCCACTGCCCTTACTTTAAAAAAATTTTTTTTTTAATTTCTATTATTGATTATAGAGAGACAGAAAGAGAGGGAGAGAAGCTTGGATATGAGAGAAATATCAATCGGTTGCCCCTCCTGCATGTCCCAACTGGGGACCAAACCCACAGCCCAGGCCTGTGCTCTAACTGGGAAACAAACCGGCCACCTTTCGGTTTGCAAGACGACACCCAGCCAACTGAGCCACACAGGAGGGGCACTGCCTTTCAACATGTAAAAATGCTTTTGCCCTTGTCTGACACCATGTGTATAAACATCTCATCTGGGGCCTTCCTTAAATCCATAACCACTTTCATGAGGTATCAGTATTTGGGTCACCAACAGCTAGAAGATTCGCAGTGAACTGGGAGGCCCTCCCTTTATCTTCTCTCATTGCTCAGCAGCCTTGGAGCAGGAGAGAGGGAGCCAGCCTACTCTCTGGATCCCCAAGGGGAGTTCTCTGAGGATGTCCAGTGCTTGGCTGTCCATGTTATTCAACAAATATGTACTAAGCATTACGGATGACCAGGGCCATTGGTGAGATCAGCACACATTGCGGGGACACAGCAGTCGTTGGCATCTGTCGGAGGCATTGAAATGCTTTGGTTTCTTTTAGTCATTCAGTAAACATTGACTGCTCTGTAAGTGGCAAGACCTTGTGCAAGGGGCTAAGAATGTAATGATGATAAGATGAATAGTTTCTGCTTTCATAAATTTTATATTCTAGAAGGAAATGCAGATTAAAAAGGAATACACAGAAAAACAATTACAGATATTTTACAAAGTCCTAAAATGGGTAGAGAACCTACTTTAAATAAAGTGGTCAGGGAAGGCTTCAGACAAGTTTCTATTTAAACTCACATCTGAGGATGAGAGGGAGATCCTGAGTGGTGGGGGGGGCAAGAAATGGAGACAACTGCACTTGAACAACAATAATATATATATATAAATCTCAAAAAAAGAGTGAAGATAGAACTTTCTAAGCATAAGAAATAGCATGTGCAAAGGTCCTGAGGCAAGAAAAGTAAGCGTCACAGTGATAACCATCCCCCCAGATACATTCCTTTCTCTCCTCCTTTCCTTTTGGACCACCGAGCCTCCCTTTTAGAAGGGAATGGGCATTTTTTTTTCTTTTTTTTCAGTACGTGACCAGTAATTTTGCACATTTCCCTCCTGCAGAAATGGTTCAAGCAGCGCCTGGCCCAGTGGCGGCAGTCTGAAGGTCTCCCCTCAGAATGCAGATCCGTTACAGACTGAGAAGAGGACGGGCACCCACAGCGTCCCTCCATGAATGCCATCTGCTGTCTCTCTCCTCGGCTTAACCCAACTGTTTTGTTTTTTTAGTGCAGTGTTGTATGTTCCACTGGTAGCTGTCCTGCTATTTGACATGATGTATTTTTTTAATGTATATAACTAGAAAAAATAACGGCAAGAAGCTGTGTGCGGCTTCTGTGTAAAGCAGTGGTTTGGCTGGGAAAGGGGTGCGGCTTGCATTTCCCTTGGGTCCTGATGACAGATGGTGCGAAAACCACCTACGTTTGCTTTTGATCATCCCCTCCCAATAACAATGTACTTTCAACATCCATCTGTGAGCAGGCGAGGCCTCTGTTGAAGAAATAACATGGCCAAGAGGGAGAAACATTTCCTCCTGAATCTACTTCCCTAAGTTGTTTTCCTTACAGTTCATTTAATACATTGAGGTTGAATGAGAATACCAAGGAATATTTGAGTCGTTCAGATTTCATAAAGTAGTTCCTTATGGATTAAAGCTACATTAACTTAGAAAGAACCCAGTTAGGCTAAAAGAAACTCCACAAGTAGCAAGACCAAAAAGCAAGTAACTAACAAAAAAAAACCCACTAAAGTCTTTAATTTACTTTATTTAAATGTTTGTTGAATTAATTTTGCTAAATAAAATGAACTCTTTGTCTCTAAAATGATATTCTAAATAAAACCTTAACTTTTTGTTGAAAATGCACTGACCCCTCTGAAGATTTTTACTGAATACTAAACATATCAAAGAAAAACAGAATAGCTTCAATATAGAAGCACACTGGCAAAAGAGCTGTTATTTTCCAAATTCATGCTGTACAACGTGTGGCCCAGAACTGGCTTTGTCAGCATTAGCTGTGAGAAATATAGAACCTCAGACTCCAACCCAGACCTACCAAAGCAGAACCTGCATCTTTAACAAGTCCCCGACCGGTGTTCCACATGAAAGTTTGAGCAGCACTGTTCTACAGGACTCTGCAGTCCATTTATATCCATTTTCTATCGTAGCACATTAAACATCTTAATAGTCTATCAATTAAGGTTGTTTGATCTAATGGAACAGTAACTTGATTACAATGGATTAACCAAATAGGCTTTCGGTCTATGTGCTTATTTGATAATCCTGTTCTTACATATGACGTCAGCAGGTAGGTGGCTCCCTAATGTTGTGAAGGACTGAGATCATTCTGTCTTCCTGTGTAGGGGTGACTTTCCTCACAAGTCCCTCTGTGTGCCACTAATGAGAGTAAACATAACTGAGACAAGATGTGATCTGCTTGGGAAGGAGAGGTGGCCAGCTTCCCAGAGGAAAAAGGCCTTGAGCAGTGGCCAGTTTTTCAGGGGAAAAGGTGTTGAGCCCCTTCCTCCAAGGGTTTTTATTGGGTTGCAATACACAGGAATCCAGGGCAGCAAGGATCAAACAGTAGATAACATTTCAAAGAAATCTGAGGGCTAGTCTGAGTCAGAGTCTGTCAGGAAGGGTTTTAGGGTTTCCTGCTCGAACCCTTAACATATGAATGAAAACACTCTTAGCAGAGCAGATTTCACAGGTTTATCAGGAAGTCTTTGTGATGCCAGATTTTCCCCCAGGACACGCTCTAGCAAGGCAAGGAGCTGCACCTCTCCCCAATAGGTATTCAGGCTTAAGGGGATTAGAGCCAGGAAGCACTTCTCCCAGAGAACATGGGGACTTGGGCTATGTCAAAGCCAGGGGGCAAGAGGCCATTGCTCCCTCTTTGTCGCAGCCCCCCGAGTCCTTCCATGATGGCCTCCCAAGTGGTCATGTCTGACCTAGGTTGCCGCTCCTCTGAGGGGTCTTACTCATCAAGGACTTCCAACCATACTTTAGGGGCAGGGAGGAAACTGAGGCAGCATTTGCTACCAGAGACAAGCTTTGTCTCCTGTCGTTCGCATTCCAAAGATTATTGCTCCCTCATCCTTAGCCATGGGGGGGTAGAGAGTTACAATTCCTGAAACCAGGCAGAGCGGTCCACAACATTCCTGCTTTGCTAGCTTCAGCATGGGGCTCCTGTGTTCATGGATGCGAGAGGAATGCTTGGGCCTGGAGTCTGCCTTTCAAGGGATGGCAGGGCGGGGGGGGAAAGAGAAAAAGGCAAATGCCAGCTGAGACTCTCCCTCTTAAAAAAGGTTTCCTGGCAACCACCCACCCATCAACCTCTACCTGCATATCATTGGCCAGAATTGAGTCCTGTGACCACTCTTACTCAAGGGAGTGTAAGTAAGGCAAATATTTTAAATTGCGCACATTGCTGCCTTGGGCAAAATTGGGGTTCTGTTGGTGAGAAAGAAGGTTGTGGAGTAGACATCGGAAAAGCCACCCCAAGTGTCTGCCAGCCCAGCCAGGAATGACGCTGGTGTGCACTTCTGAACTCTTACCTACTCAGTCTGCTCTGTTCTTTAACGTAAAGAGGCCAACAGGGAAAAAGGTGGGACCACTGTAATTGAACAATTCAAAACATAAAAAATAAAAAATGAAGAGTCCAAAATAAGAAACACTAACAGCTATTCACCATGCATATGTTTACAAGATCTCCTTAAACATCCCTGACGAGCTTCCTCTTCCTCTACCTTAAAACATTTCTTCTGTAAACAATACACAGTGAACTGGGGTCTGAACAGAACCGCCTCATCTGGTGGCCTGAGCATCTGTCAGCACACAGGGCTGGACGCTGACATCACTTTCTGGAAGGAAAGAAGGGAGAAGGTGAGGATATGCTGGGAATGTGTGCACACACCACACAGTGGCTAACAGGGAGGAAGAATTGTGCTGCTAATATGACTGTGGGCAAAGTGGGCAGAGATCTCTGTGATGTGTCCATGCCAGCAAGGAGAGATGCTAGCCCTGACCTAAGACTCAGGTCAGAAGTCTTTCTAGCATAACAGAGACATAATTCAAGAACAATTTGTCCAGGACAAGAAGAGCTGACCAACTGGGCAGAGAGTGTGCCTTTAGCTTGATGCTGAGAACTGTTTATGACAAAAGGATCACTTCCTGTGCTTATTAGGTCGGAGAGTCATGAATCCTTGAATGGCACATGCTTAGAAGAAATGAGGATTTGTGTCCATCCATTCATTTTAACAAGAGCTAAGTTTTTTATTCATTCATTTCTTGTATCTGAAGTACTCCTCAATGTCATTCTTAGCCTGATAGTCTTCACCATAGTCCTTACTTAACTACCACGTGAGCACAACCAACCACTTGAAGGGGTTTCCTTCTCTGCCAGTTTTACAGAGGGCTCTCTTAGCTTTATAATCAGGGGTCTCTTCTGGACCCCCAGGGCCATATACCACAGTGATAACACCCACCCCAGACTGAGGAAAACTCTGCACAGTCTCTTTGCCATGTGTTGCCCCAATTTTGCCATTGCAGACACGATTGCTTAAACGGACATTTAGTCCAACCCCTTTCTCTCTCACCGCCTTTCCCTATTTAAGGCCACAGCAGCTGAAAAGCTGGAATACTCCCTCCCCCCTCCTCACATGGAAGCTGTGGAGGTCATGTGGCATGATCTGGCCAAGGAGGGGCAGGGGAAAACCTGGGGGGCAGGAAGCTTTGGGGAAGGGTTTTGCCTTTCTTGGTAAAAGATACAGAGGTATCAGCCTCTCTCTTTTGTTCCTTTCTTGCCTTAAACCAGTGTCACTTGTTCAGTATAGAACTAGAGACAAGTAAAAAAAAAAAGAGAGACATGCAATAAAACCCATAAAAATTACCCATGATCCCACCACCCAGAATTAACCTTAATATTAATCTTAATATTATATGATCATATGGTGGGGAGGCATTTTTTAATTATTATTTTATTTTAGATCAGAGGGTCCCATGATCCCTTCCTTAGGTTTGATTGATTTGCTGGAACAGCTCACAGAATTTAGGAAAAACAGTTTACTTTTATAAAGGATATAATTCCGGGACAGCCAGATAGAAGATATGGGGGAGGGGTTTCCCGCCCTCTCTGGGCACCGCACCCTTCAGCACCTCCCCCTGTTCACAACCCCGGAAGTTCTCTGAATCCTGTACGTTGGGGACTGTGGGGTCGTCACTGTGTGCGTCCAGGGTGATGGGGGTGGGGTTGAGAGTGCCAGCACTGTAATCCAGCAGTTTTCAGATGCGGTGCGGCAGCAACTGCTGCACCACAAGAATCTTTAAAACATGCAGTCAGGGCCCTGACCTCTTTCCCCTTAGATTGTCAAATTAAAAAATGACAACAGCCAACACAATAATAGTCATTCAGTGTATACCAATTTTTTTTTATCAGACCAGCAAGAAATATACCTTTTTAGTATGCCCCAGAATTTTATTAACTCATTTATGTATGCCATGAGGTAAAAAAAAGGTTGAAAATCACTGTTCCAATCATGTGGTTGGTCTCCTTGGCAACAAGTTCCCTCCTGTCTAGGGGCTTTCCCAAAATCACCGCATTAACATGAACTCCAGGATGGCTGAAAGGACTTGCTTTGAATAGCAGACACACCTTTCACCTTCATCATTCTGGAGCTACTTCAGAAACTGGAGCTACTTGAGGGCAACATACCAAACACTAAAACAACGGATACTCCAGTGCTTGTGTTCCTTATAAAATCACAAGGGTCTTAGGAGCTGTGTGCCAGGAGCAGAATTCATACCAAATACCCTTGTTCTAAATCACAGTGTTATAGGATGGAAAGATCCCTCCTGAGGAGAAAAATCTGCTCTTTTTTATAAAAACACCTTGATGTGTTGGGATTTTTGTTTGTTTGTTTTTGGCTTTGGGGTTTTTGGGGGGGGCACCTCTGAAGCATGTCTAGTAGGAGAAAAAAGAAATAATTCAGTGGCTGTGCACAAAAAGTGGAAGGAACTCAGGGATTTAGGGAGTGTTCTGTGGAGGCTGGGATAGGAGGTTCCTTGGGCACTCAGGGGAGGGATGGAGGAAAATGACCCGGAAAGGTCATGGGTCAAGATGTCAGTTGCCCCAGAAGGCTGGGGGATTTGGCCCCAGGACTGTAAATGTTAAATATTCTATTTTGAATTAATATCTGCTGTTGTCATGTTGCCATGGTTCTTTGTTATCCTCAGCCTTCAGGAAAGTTCTGTGACACGGATGGCCTAGCACCGGTGATCTTTGTGGGATGAGGAAGGAGCTGCTCCAGCCATGCGATGGTCTGCAGGTGCACTTGTTTCTGCCTGCTGTCTTGTTCTTGTAGAGGGGTAACAGAACCTCTTCCCATTTAGGGAACTTCTACTTCGTGTGCCCTGGAAGAGCACTTAACCACAGTGCCCGGATTTCCCACCTTAGTCACATGACCCAGGCTGGCCAATCACAATGCCCTATCCCTTTGCACACAGGGACTGAGCCAAGGTATGGGCTCTTGACCTCAGCAGGGCCAAAGTCCTTCGGCAGGGTCTCTCCAACTGGACCAGGAAGGGTTAGAGTTAGTTCTCTATCATTGTCTTACACCGAGGGTTATGGTGATGGAGGCTGAGGATTGCAGGCAGCCATCTACCCAGCCATATAGAGAAGGCCACTCGGTAGCATGAGAGTATGAAGCCAGGCAGGGATGGGAGTTGGAGAAAAAGCCAGGTCCTGGGGCCCTGCTTCCCACTGTTCCCTTGGGCTGTCCAGCCTTCCTGGCTCTCTGAACTAATAAATTCCCTTCTTGGTGTATATCTGTCCTTTGCATCAAGAAGAGTCCTGACTAATGGCAGAG